TTGAGCATTCAGGCAGTAGAAACATCATTGTGAGAATTCAGAGATTAATATGCTCATACCACTCTAAGGAAGAGACAGCTCACTTCCTCAAAGGGGTAGGATATGAGGGAGGTCTTGCTAAAAAGGTATAACATTTTTTCCATGCAAAAATCACTGATAATTTGGCTAAGTGATGTATAAATTGAGTTTCCCTAAAATAAAATAGTAAAGAACAGAAGTTTTTTTTTTTTTTTTTTTTGTTTTTTTTTTTGTTTTTTTTTTTGTTTTTTTTTTTTGGTTTTTTTTTTTGGTTTTTCGAGACAGGGTTTCTCTGTGTAGCTTTGCGCCTTTCCTGGAACTCACTTGGTAGTCCAGGCTGGCCTCGAACTCACAGAGATCCGCCTGGCTCTGCCTCCCGAGTGCTGGGATTAAAGGCGTGCGCCACCACCGCCCGGCAAGAACAGAAGTTTTTAACAACAGGTATTTCAATAATAAAGCCCAAACAGAAAACAACTCTACTTTTTAAAATTTTAATTGACAGTTTATAATCATTTGGATGAATGGAGTGCAGTGTGACATTTCAATGTGTACATTGTGTATTTACCAGATCAGGAAAAACAACACTGATTTTAAACAGAATCATAAGTTTAAGGATTTGACCGGGTGTTGAGCTCAAAATATCTCTAGTACTATTCAAATCCATATTACTCTCAAATGACATTAATTAGATTATCTGAGGGGACAGGTAGGAACTGTGCTGAGTTTCAAACTTGGCCTAAGGCATGCTAAGAAAATTATTCTTGGGCATTTGAGAGTGCTGTGCTCTATCCCTGAGCTGTACTACTACTTCTTCACTTATTTATACAAGAATCCTGCCCAATATCACCTAGCAGTACTGTGAAGCTTTTAAAAGCATACTTTTACTTATTCTTTGAGAATTTCATATATATATATATGTGTATATATATATATATATGAATGCATCATATTTTGATTAAATTCACCTCCTACTTGCCCTTCTCCAAATCCTCCCGCACCTTCCCCATGTTCCCTTCCTTCTTGTTCTCTTGTTGTTCATGACCCACTGAGCTCAGTTCTACCATCACGAGTTTATAGGGCCATCCACTAAAGTACAGACAACCTATGATGGCCTCCATCCTTTGGATTAATGCTTCTCAACCTCTGGGGGTCATGACACTTTCACAGGGATCACTTAAGACCATGGGAAAATGTAGATATTTACACTAGGATTCATAACAGTAGCAAAATTACAGTTATACAGTAGCAACAAAAATAATCTTATGGTTGGGGGTCACCACAACATGAAGAACAGTATTAAAGGGTCGCAGCATTAGTAAGATTGAGAACCACTGCTTTGGATGGAGAAAAGGGAAGGGGGAAATGATGTAGTTGTAATCTTAGAAATATAAAAGTATATTTAAAAAGTGACTCTTCTTCCTCCAGAAACCATCAGCTACCACATGCTCTTCAGCAAGCAGTGGGACTTTGTGAACTTCTCACTTAATCTTGCTTAACTGTTGACTATCTCAATCTTGTGCCAGCAACCAAAGATGATGTGAGTTCATGAGTGAATTGGCTGTGTTGTTTCCAAATGACACTGTTTTGCAGCAGTTGTTCCTAACCTCTGGCTCTTACAGTCTTTCTGCCTTTACTTCTCCAGTGTTTCCTGAGCCATGTTGGAGATTAAAATAGATGTCCTATTTAGGGTTGAGTACTCTGTAGTCTTTTATTTTTTGCACTTGGACCAGTGGTAATTCTTCATAATAATGTTGCACTGCCCAAAGAAGCTTCTCTGATAAAGGTAGAGAGTTGCACTAATTTATGGGTATAAAGAAAAAATATTTAAAGGGAAGTTTGATGCATGTCTGTTTAGCAAAATAATAGAAGCAGGTTCTCCTTCAGAGACTATGGTATCATCAGTCATAGTTTGGCTAGACATGAGGCTCCTCTTGTAGAGCAGGCCTTAAATGAAATCAGTAAGCTCTTGGTTACTCCTTCAACTGTCATGCCAACATTGCACCAATAGGTACATCTTGCTAATTTGTTGTCATAGCTTGCAAGTTCACAGCTGGGTTACACTGTTGATTACTTCCCTTCCCTATCAGCTTTCATAGAATATCCTCCCACTGTGAAAGCTATATAGCAAGGAAGAACCATCCAGGTCAGTTGCTATCCTGCTTCTCCTACATGCCAGCTATGACTGAAATATGAGGTCTCTTCAGTGATAGGATCTTATCACCAGATAATAACTAAAAACTAGATAATTTTATAACCATTACTAATTCTAATTATTTACTTAAGTGTGTGTTTCTTCCCTGATGTAGGAACAGTCTCAGAACTGAGCTTTACTACTGACCTAAATTGTTCTATATATTATTCATTCAGTGCTGGAAAAACAAGGAGGAAGCAATTTGCTCTGACCGGTGCCTGCCTCTTGGAAAAGGGTGTGATTTCCCAACCATGTGGATGTTGGGAAGTCCAAAGTATGCTTCACACTTTGCTTTTAGTTTTCTACACAGGGATGCTGTTTCCTTCACTCCTCTCTGCCTCCTTTGCACTATGCTCTCTCAGCATAAGATCCTATCTCCTAAGTATGGATACAGTAAGGCTAGAGATTGTAGGCTAATCTGACGTTTTGAAAGGGAGGATGAAGTATGAAGAAAGAATGTGAATATGTAGAGAGAGAGCAGGTAAATAATGAAGGTTATGTTTAATAGATTCCAATGAGAAGATCTATTATATAATGGGATATACCTGGTGTTCACAACAGTGATCTAGAAAAGGGCTACTAAATATATAACCATATGGCATAGTTACTATTGTTATCCTCATTTCATGGGGAGAATGATGCACTGGGAAGTGATGTCACTTGTCCACAGTTAAGCTCCATCTGTAGTGTGGTGTCAAGTTCATTGTTTCCTCCCCAAGATAACAGCAATGAAGAAGAGTGCAAAGGAGTTTCTGGAAGATAATAGAAATTAGGGCAGTTTTGATAAAAAGAAGAGCATGCAGGAGAGAGAAATGTTTCTGGGTGTTCAAGGGAGGGAAATATTTTATGCTGAAGCAGATGATACAGGAAAGAAAAACACACTAGGATGATCCTAAAAATATCTGATGGGTGGAAAGGACATCTGAGGACATCTGTAGCTATGGAGAAATGTATTACCTCTATCACACTTACCAGAATACATCTCACGTGTGTTAGAGTGTAGCTAAAGGGACAGCTGAAATAACTTGGCCCCTGATTTCGGAAGATTGGAAAAAAGAAAATTTGATGCCACGTGCTCCCTAGATAAATGGAGGAATTATTACTTCAAAAAACCAAGAGGTTTTGGGCACAAGTTGATGTAGCTTGCTTGGAGAAAGTTATTAAGATGGCTTGGGGACACATTGTGTTAGCAGTGACAGGAAGATATACAAACAGAGTTGCTTGGTTGGTAATAAGAACTTAACTAATTTCCCAGTTGTCCTTTTAGAGTCTTGAGAGCAATTGGCATAGATTTTGTGAGTTGAAAGTGCTTTGGATGGATGAGCTCTGTAGAGGAGATACCTGGAGGGAGCACAGGGCCTAATGTGTCCTGAGTCCAGGGGTAAAGAAAAAAGGGAGTGGGAAGAAGAGAAAGTGCAAAGGAAATGAGTTGTCAGGGAGTGGAAAGTCAGGGCATGCGGATGTCAGGAGACCATTAGGACATGATCAGTGATCACACTGAGTAGAAAAATACCATTATCAGAGCTCTTTGATTGTACCAAGAATATTTTCATGTGTTAGTGTATCTGACTGTGTCATATTTCATAGCATGTGTGTATAAATATGTTTCCCCTATTCTTGAAAAAGTTTTACTAAATAAATATATCATTTAACACTATCTTGAAATTTTAAAATGTTGTGTGATTGATAATTAAAAGCTTTCATTTATAATTCGTAAATATTATCATCCTAAAGAAAAGTGTCTGTTGTTATCCTTCAAATAAAATCAGTTTATGTAAAGAAAAAGGAGATTGCTATCTTTGGGAACTTCAGGCTATATTAATAAATTATTCAGGGCATCAATAGTTGGAAATGAACACCAAGGCTGAGGTCAGAGGAGTGAGCCACACTGTTTATTTCCTCAATTTCCTGCCCTGCAAATATTTAGGAATAATACAGAGATAAATGGAGATATTTGCTGTATGCACTGTTAATACTGTCTACATTTATAATGTGGGCAGGGATAAGGAATTGTAATTATCATGAAGCATTTTTAAACAGGTTCAGGAAGAATTAGCCATAAGGAAGACACTGCTGAGATGCTTATGAAAGCTATGGAGTTGTCCCTTGTGATGGGCTTTGTCAGGCAGAACTAATTATCTGTGGATGATAAGAGAAAATATGGTGAAAAACAGCAGCCATTTCCCATGGCGGGAGTATCCATTTAAAACCCAACAACTCCCTGAACCATGAGATAATTGAAACAGTACCAAAGCCGGCGTGAATAACAAGGCATGCACTGTCTTTCTTAGAAAGTAACAGGGCAGCTTGCAAAATTAACTTCAAATGCATTCCAGAAATAGTACATACTGCCAGGGTTGGTGGCACACAGCTATAAAACCAGCACCTGGGGAATCCAGGCATGCCTGGGCTACCAAATAAGACCTGGTTTCAAAAGGCAAAACCAAAACCAAAAGTACCAAGAAAGAGTAAATTATATTTGTAAATGATCCAGTTCATTCAATCAGAATAAAAGAGGAACTGCTACGTGCACCCAAAATAAAAACTTAATTTATCAAAGTTTGCTAATAGTAAATTCATGTCTTTAAACTTTTTAATTTACAGTTCTAACATAAAAGAAGTATTAAGGTATTTAGTATAGCTTTGTGTATAAAATCAGCAGTCAAAACCAAGTTTTGTTTAGCTCAGTGAATATTTATTTTGAATTAAAAGAGATAATATGCAAATGCATTCAATATTCTAACAAAACCTTAAAGCTCTGTCAAAATCAGCTGATTTTTTTTGCTCTCAGTTTCAGTTAAAAGCAACAGAGATAATGCATGAAGGACTTTGCTGCAATTCCTCTAACAGTGTTGGGGCCCACCTTCTCCACTTCCCAAAGATATGTGCATCTCAAGAAGTCATACATGTCATATATGAGTCTTTTCTGATGTATGGACTATGACTCTTACTGTGTCAGCACCAACATTACCTCTTCCAGAGAAGAAAAAGTTTGATATGTATGATAACAAAATGGACAGTGACTGTGTTTGACTATCATTTGAGGAAGTCAGAAATCAAGAACTATAATAATATCACTTGATATTTATCTGCTCAATTAAGAGATGATGACCTGAATATTGCAGGGAACTCAAGGAAAGAAATGCAAAAATATTCAAGAAAAAAAGCATTAAGCATTTTTTTCCAGTCAAATGAAAAGGGAATGAGTATGTAGGAAATGAAGTGGATATTTAAATGTTTTCAAATTAATTTTCTATTTTCTGTATCAACTTTCCATTGTAGGTGATAATGCAAACATCACAAATAAGAATAATGTAGCACATTATGTTGTTTACAAAGATGGATGTTATTATAAAATTTGTATTGATCAATTTTAGAAAAATAGTTATTGTTCTATAAATTTAAAATTGTGAGATACAAGCAAGATTTTGTTGTCTTTTTTTTTTAATGCTCACTGCTAAGTGCATTGTTCATGCTGGATTCCTAAAGAGAAATGTAATTCATAGTAAACCACATTGATATTCATGTATTCCTTTCTTTTCTAGTTCCTATCTCCTTATCTCAACAGAAAGGCAGCACATTCTCCAAGTTTATAAGGATACTGATAGTCAGTTTAAATGCAATCTTCAGCAAACAATATAAAATCAAGGCAAAATGAGCAGGTTTCTCAAATCACTTCTCTAAAGGGAAATTCAAAAACAGAATATGCGTGTTATGCAAATTGTACCTGAGATATTTGCAAACAGTACTAATATTCATATGTTAAGAAACTGTGGTAGTTGTAATATAAAATTGGTGATTCTGATTAACATAATTAGAATATAAATGATCACATAATTCTCTTGAACAAGTAAATCTGCTCCTTTTAAATATGATGCTCATTCATCAAGAGAAAACTACATCCTGTCAAAATAAATGAATCGGCAACATATTTAGGTAAAATATGACTGTAAAACTGGAATTACAAACTTTGTCACCTTATGAAACAATAATAAAAGTCATTTCTAAAAATCTCTTCTTTCCCTCAAATAAAATTTTCAGAGCAATCATTAAACTATCATTGTGGTTGATATGTCATCCAAATATTCCATATTATGATGTCCATGTAGTAATTCAAACAAAGTATCTACATTTATTTTACAACATGTTAGTTTTTATAATTCATTATATTTTCCATATAACTTGTATTATGGTTCTGAAAATTAGTCACATAAGAATGTAGGCAAATTATAAATTATAGTGGCACTGTTTTAAATTATTGTATGGTCAAATTGGAGTAAACCACTCATCACAAAATGTCAATGATAAATAAGAATTTTTGTGCTTTTCCCTAAAATTGTAACTATAATTTGTTTGAGGTTATCAATAATACACCAGGGCCAAATTATTTTGTATGTACAAACACATACATGCAAAATGGATAGAAATTAATAAATGGGACCTCATGAAAGTGACAAGTTTCTGTATGGCAAAAACACCATCATTTGGACAAAGCAATAGCTTACAGAATGGGAAAAGATTTTACCAACTATGTATCCAAGGAAGGATGAATATCCAAAATACATAAGGCATTAAAACTACCATACATCAAGGAAGCAAAAAACCCAATTGAAAGTAATGTACATATCTAAACAAAGAATTCACAGAAGAAGAAATTCAACTGGCAGAAAAATACTTAAAAAAAAATGTTCAGCATCCTTAAGTCATCAGATAAATGCAAATTAAAACTACTTTTAGATTTTACCTTATGCCTGTAAGAATGGCTAAGATCAGAAACACAACTGACAGCTTGTGCTAAAGAGAATGTGGAGTAAGGGAATACTCATTCATCGCTGGTGTGACTGCAAACTCATACAGTCACTATGGAAATAAGTGCGGCAGTTCCTTAAGGTGGGAAGCAATTTACCTAAAAATCCAGCTATATCACCTCTGGAGCATATATTCAAAGGACCCTTAATCCTACAGAGATTCTTGATCAGTCATGTTTATTGCTGCTCTATTCATAATACCCACATATTGGGAACATTCATGATATCACTTCACAGATGAATGGAAATCCAAAATGTGGTTTATGGAATTCCTGAGAGAGGAAATGAGTAGGTTTCTGCATCTTTATCTGTTTCTGTTGCCTTTTCTTGGCCCTTCTGCTTATTCATCCTATTTTAATGCATTTATTTTTCTTTAATATTATTTTATATCATTTTATGTTCTTATTAGCCCTTAGACACCAGTTAATGAGAGGCAAAAATGGGTGTGCCTGAATAAGAGGGAAGGTGGAGAGGAACTGGGAGGAGTAGAGGAAGGGGAAACCATAATCAGGCTATATTATATTAAAAACAAATCTATTTTCAATAAAATAATATTTAAAAAAATAAAATGTGCTGAAGAAATCCTATGTATCCTCTGTACTCTGGGTAACAACTTGACAGAAGACTATGTCATATTCATTCCCCTTATATACATATGAAAACTCTCTAATGGGAATTAAAAAGCAAGATGGTGGATGTTATCCACAGGAACGTGGTAGAGGAGAACATAACACCCTCCTGTTGAGTTATGAGTCTATAGTATACAGAGAAAATTCCTGCCTGAGTAGAAGAAGCCGATTAAAACAAGATGACCATGAGTTTTACTTATATGCTTAAATAATCAAATGTTGGGATGGATTCCTTTAGTTTTGAAAGAAAATCTTGATTAAGATTATCTTTCTCATTGTTTTTAATATTTTGGTAAATATTCACTGTTCATGGTTATGGGTTTCATAAAATTGTTCTCATTAAGTGTATCCTGTACTTTGGCCAAACTCACTCCATCTAACATGTCTACCACACAGAGAGATACTTTTACTATGACCTTTAAATAAAATAATTTGGTGATTTTTTTTTACATAGAAATTTTATTGTATAGAAAAATGTGCTCTTTTCAAACTGGTTGGTTGAATTCAAACAGAATGGAGTACCCATATACCCTACAACATGGATGAACCTCTGAAACATTGTCTTATGTAAACACAAAGAATCAAAAATGATATGTACCTCTGTTTATGACTCCGGGGTTAAATTTCTTCTTCCCTTACCTAACTCTAACCCTACTGCCCATCACGACCTCCATACCCTCACGCCTAGCTCCAGATACACAGCCAGTGACCACTCTTTGTGTTTGAGCCACCTTTAAGGGTAAGTTGTTTACTCTACTCTAGCCATTGGTCCTCCCCTCCATACCAACAGGGAGTATATGAGATGGATTGGAAGGAAGAAAGGTAAGAGAAAATGTAATATAATTATATTTAAATTAAAATTGTAAAACAAAATGTGGTTGGTTGAATTCTTTCAGAAGTGAATATAAAATGGAATGGAAAGTCTCTTACTCTTCTTATGTTGAACAATTGTGGGTTTCTGTGTTAATCAACATCTGCTGCAAGAAGAAGCTTCTCTGTGGAGTGTTGAGCAATGCATTGATCTATAATTACAGTAATATGTTGTTAGGAGTCATTTTATTTTTGTTCATCTGGCATAATATCATTAGTAGGTTTTCTTCTATGGGACTCATAGGAGAATTTAGTTTCAGGTTCAAAGTAGATTCTTGGCCTCATTGACAGTGTCAGTTTTCATCTCCTATAGAGGGCTTCAAAACCAACTAAAAAAATATAATAAACCATTGGTTACTCCTGTGATATTCATGCCACAATCACACCAGAGGCAATATCATGTAGGCAGTTCATTATTGTACCTCACAGAGTTCAAATTTGGGTGACATGATGATTATTTTTTTCCTCTGGTAGTATTTATAGCACTTTCCATTACTATGAATGCTATCCATTAAAGGCTGAAAATTTCAGTAGAGTACCAGCTATATTTCTATATGTTCTGTGACGCAAGTTTATGGTGTCTTCAACAATAGGCCTTAATGTCATTTTGGAGGGGAAATCAATAGCGTTGGTGATAGCCCATAATGTTTGGAAGGGTCTATAGAACCAACTAGTAAACTAATCAATAATATGTAACTCATCCCTGCTTCTGCCTCTAGCATAACATATGATGGAATAATTTTAAATGTAAAAAAATTGGGGGGTGGATGGAGGCATGAGATCATTTTATGAATATTGTCTTAGTTTGGGTTTCTTTTGCTATGATTAAGTGCCATAACCCAAATCAACCTGTGCATTAAAAATCATTTTAAAAAAGTGGTTGGCTACTCCTGTAACATGTGTGCAGCTATTATACCAGTGAATATGTCTTCACAAGCTGATTGTTCTTGTTGCTCAAGGGTTCACAGATGTGCAAGACAGTTGATTAATTTTCTTCTCTAGTATCATGCACACACTTTCCAGCACTGTGAATGCTAGCCAATAGGAAAGAAGTTTCCACATTGGCAGTCATTGGATATCTAAGTGTCTTGTGACTCCAGTATGTGGCATCTTCAGCAATAGAGTTTACAATCAAGTTCTGGAGGGTAACAAAGAACAATGAATGGGATATCACTGACCACCAAATAGAAATGAGTTAACACATACCTGGCATTTTTATTTTTGTTTGATAACCTATGATATCTAGGAGAGGGATTGTTCCCCTATTGCTCGTTAACTAACCCTTTTACAAATAAAATTATCGAATGTCTTTAGGACAATTTTTATACATAAAAAGCAATGAATTTAAAACCTTAATATTTTATAATCATGCAGAGATATATTGACTGTTTTGTAACATTTGCTGAAAGTAGCATGGATAATTTAAGTATCTTGTGGTGATAATTTCTTCCTCTCGCAAGGTTTGTTCACATTTCATATGAGTATAAATCAACAAAAAGAGATACAGACACATTAAGATTGCTAGTAATTTAGTGAATGAGTACAAAGTGTAAAGCATAAAGTATATATCCTATAGAACCCACAAGTTCAAAGTCAATTTGAGACAAGTAGGTTATTCAGGATGAGAAACACTTATATGAACGAGAAGGGGAATGGGAAGTAGATATCACAGACATCCTTTGTGTCCGTATTCCAATGGCTGTAGCCAGATCAAAAGGCCTCAGTTTAAGGGCTCATTTTTTTTTATAAACATTGCTTGATAATATGAAAAGTTAAGTTGGAACCTTTTGTCTAAGGAATTTAATACAATGAGCATTACGGTGATATGTCAGTATAGCATTTGAGAAATTAAATGAAATCACTTCTTTTTTCTTTTTATTTATTAGTTATTCATATGTGTGTGATCACAGTCACCCTCTTTGTACACTCTTCTCAGGTTGATCACTCTTCCTTTTCTGCCCAATTTTATGTCTTGTTTTTTTCTTTCTTTTTCCCATCTAGGCTAGTTTGTGCTGCCCAAATATTTCTGGAACTGTGGACTTCTACAAAAGCATGTTTGACTTAACAAAAGCTAAACTTTTAGAGAAAACTGACCTGTAACACAAGTTTCTAAATGGTCTTACTAATAGAAAACCCTGAGCAAGATATTGAGGTGAAAGCTGAAAGATCAGAGCAACAGAACAAGCCACAGTCAACCTCACCTTATCAACTCCTCAGCCTCCAGAGAGAGAGACTTCCTGTCTACTCACGCCTTATATACCTTTCTGTGCCCTGCCATCTTCCTTCCTTCCTAATGCAGGGATTAAAGGCATGTGTGCTTCCCAAATACTTGGTAGCAAAGGCATTAGATTTCAAGTGTTGGGATTAAAGGCATGTGCCACCATGCCTGGCTCTGTTTCCAGAGTGGCCTGGAACTCACAGAGATCCAGATGGATCTCTGCCTCCTGAGTGATAGGATTAAGGATATGTGCCACCACTGTCTTGCCTCTATATCTAATCCCGTGGCTGGCTCTGTCCTCTGATCCCCAGATAAGTTTATTAGGGTACATAATATATCACCACACAGACCCTTCCTCTGCAAGTAGCTAAGAATTGACAATGGCTTCTCAGCTAGGGGTGGAACTCTGTGCATGGTGTCACAAAGCTGATGAGTTCATATGTGCATTTGCCCCGTTGTTATGACCTGAAGACACTGTTTCCTGTAGTCATTTACCACCTCTGGCTTCTACACTCTGCTTTTTCCTCTACAATGATTCCTGAGCCTTTGTAGGAGTGAGTGTTATATAAGTATAGGCTAAGAATTCTGCAGTCCCTTATTCTATGCATGTTGGCTAGTTGTTGGTCTCCGTGCTGATCATTATCTTCTGGAAATAGAAGCTTCTCTGATGAAGTTTGAGAGATGTTGTTAATATTCTTATCCCATCCTTTGGTGTCACCCTATACCCTGACATAAAAGCCTGTTCTTAAGGGGAAAATCCTCCCATTTCTCTCTCTTCTCTCTTCTCTCTTCTGCTTTCCTCTTACAAGGTAAGCACCTCTTGAACCCCTTGCCTCTCTCTCTCTCTCTCTCTCTCTCTCTCTCTCTCTATATATATATATATATATATATATATATATATATATATATATATATATATATCCCTGTCTCTTTCTCTCTCTCTCTCTCTCTCTACCCTCCCCACTTTGTCTCCTTCTTTCTGTCTTTCTGCCTCATCATCTCTCCATTATAATAAACCAGTTCCACAATTTCTAACGTTGGCGCCAAATGTGGGGCTGTCAAACTGATACGCCCTAGTCATCAAACATCATCAGATCTGAGAAGGATAAATTTAAGAAGTGAGACAGCTCTCCTCTACATAGGCAGCAATCTAAAGTCTTTCTGTTATCATTGGGGGCTTGAACAGAAGACCAAAAGACAGCACTTGTCCAGCTGACAGGCCTAGAAGATCTGACAGATATTTTTGTGGAGTAGAAATTTGGGAGGATTGACCTTCCTGTCTCAATAGAGGGAATAATTGAGCTCCATTGCTCTAGTCATTCATAGTCTAGATAGAATCTCAGCTTGTTGCTGCATGGTTGGCCTTCTCATAAGCTTCCAGGTGAAGGTTCTGTGGCCACCCATCTTCTTGGAAAAGTTATAGAATGCTGTTGCCAGGAGCTGGCATGTCTCTTTACCATAAAAAGCTTTTATATTAAATGTCATATTCTCAGATCTCTACAGATGTCTGAGGACTGGGGGGAACAAAATCTGTTAGACATATTTATAACTTTGAGAGCACATATATGACTTAAATCTGAATATATAGGTTTCTCAGTTATCAAGAAATAATTATTTCTTAAGCTGTCTCCTGAGAAGGCAAAGAAGAGTGACAGGGAAAGATCCCAAGGCCAAGTTGAGAACAGGAGAAAAGGAGCTTGTGAGTCAGGGTGCAGCCCAACTCTGAGAAAGAGATCCTCTGAGAAAAGGAGAAAGACCCTCTTGGTGGATATGTCAGGGTTTTCATCCCTAAGCTGGTCCTCCAGCCTGACCTGGGAACAGGGAGCACAGGACGATGTATTCTCCATCGCTGCTTCAAGCTGAACTGGGGTGCAGGTGTGGAGGAGAGGGGTGTTTGTCAGAAGAATGTGGTTGTCTGACCAGGCTGTAGAGGTCAGGGGACAAATACGTTTGGCTATGTTCCACATCTCATAGACAAGAGTCTCTGTTGGCACCCATGGCGAGGAAAGTACTGTGGGTTTCATAACTGCTCCTTTGATGTTTCTGCCAGCTTGCAGGAATATAGACTAGAGATGGGAGTTAAAATTTATGAACTTATTTGGAACCTCTTGGCCCATGGTCCTAGTAATTGGGAAAAGGAAAACCAGGAGGGACAGAAATATATAAAAGGACATAAAAGTTTAAGATAAATTAGCATTATCAATCAGTATCGAAATCCAAAGTGTAGAAAATCAGTTAATGAACAACCAAGGAAATTTTTAAATCCTTTTAAAATCCTGAGCTTGTTAT